TGCTGTGGGAGTGGGTGGGGCTCAGCAGGGGTGCTGTGCTGCAGGGAGTGGGTGGGGCTCAGCAGGGATGCTGTGCTGTGGGACGGGTGGGGCTCAGAAGGGGCGCTGTGCTGTGGGGAGTGGGAGCTCAGCAGGGGGTGCTGTGCTGTGGGGAGCGGGGCAGAGCTCAGCAGGGGGCACTGTGCTGTGGGGAGTGGGGGCTCAGCGGGGGTGCTGTGCTGTAGGGAGCGGGGCAGAGCTTAGTAGGGGGTGCTGTGCTGTAGGGAGTGGGGTGGGGGCTCAGCAGGGGGCGCTGTGCTGTGGGGAGTGGGGCTCAGCAGGGGGTGCTGTGCTGCAGGAAACAGGGTGGGGGGCACCGTGCTGTGGGGAGTGGGGTGGGGGAGCTGCAGAGAGGGGCTTAGGGGCTCAGTAGGGGGCGCTGTGCGTCCCGCTCAGGAGGGACTGAGATTCCTGTGGGTCAGGCCCAGCTGACCCCCCCTCTGTCTGTCTCCCCATCTCCCAGGGCGCTCCTACCTCCCGCGTCCCAAGTCTCTGTTAGGCAGCTGCCCCTCGACCCGCCTGCTCTCTCTGGAGGAGGCTCAGGCCCGGACGCAGGCCCAGGCCCAGCACACGGCCCCTGGCCAGGCCAAGAGACCTGTGGCCGAGACCGGACGGGGCCCTCCAGGGAGGCTGCCCCTCATGCTGGACTCCCCCCATGACAGGTAATGGGGCCTTCTCCCACGGGGGTTGCCGGCTCCGGGGTGGGGGCTGGTGAACTCAGGGGTGATGGGGCATGGGGGCCTTTCCCCTCCCCAGGGGGTGCCAGCCTCCACCTGGACCCAGAAGGTGGTGGGCTCAGGGGTGTGTGGAATGGGGCTGGCAGGGCCATGGGTTGGGCTGACGCTGTCTCTCCACAGGCGCCAGGCGCGGGGTGGGAGCTGGAAAACCTTCTTTGCCTTGGGCAGGGCACCTGCCATCAGCCACAAGAGAGTGCAGCGCCCAGGCGGGCAGACGGGTGAGTGAACCCTGCCCCACGCAACCCCCCTGATTCCTGCCCCACGCAGCCCTATGCAGCCCCCCAGCTTCCCACAGCCTCCCAGATTCTCCCTGCCCCACGTACCCCCCATTTCCAGCCCTGCCCCACAAACCTCCCCCCAGTTCCACACCGACCTCCCAGCCCCTCATCTCTCTTCCTCCTGTTCTCTCTGTCTCTCCCCCTGCCCCATGGAGTGGGGATGGGGGGTGTATGTTCGAGTGCTTGCTCATGTCCATTCCATGCTAGGTGTGCGCATGCCCACGGGCCCGGCTGCCAGAGATTTTTCCCTTAGCAGTATCTGTGGGGCCACCCATGTAGCCCTGCACCCACACGCCGGTATATGGGGTGCCGCACCCCTCAGTTCCTTGTCTCCCTTTGTGATTCCAAAGTGCTCTGAGCGGTGTAACTTTATAGTTGTTGGATATAGTTGGATCTAGATCATGAAGTAGTTAGTTAGGTGAGTAATTAGGTTAGATCAGGGGTCGGCAACCTTTCAGAAGTGGTGTGCCGAGTCTTCATTTATTCACTCTAATTTAAGGTTTTGCGTGCCGGTAATACATTTTAACGTTTTTAGAAGGTCTCTTTCTCTAAGTCTATAATATATAACTAAACTATTGTATGTAAAGTAAACAAGGTTTTCAAAATGTTTAAGAAGCGTCATTTAAAATTAAATTAAAATGCTGATCTTACGCCACTAGCCTGCTTGGCTCACTGCCAGCCTGGGGTTCTGTTCACCTAGGCCAGCAGCAGGCTGATCAGGGCCTGCGGCTGGGACCCCAGACCTGGGGGGGGGGGTGTTTCAGGGGTCAGGGCAGAGGGCTGGGGGGCGTGGGGGGTGCAGGGCAGAAGGCTGGGGTGCTCGGCTTGTGGGGGTGCTCCCAGCCCCCTGCCCTGAAAGTCTCATGGCAGGGGACTGGAAGGGATATGCTCTGTTCCACCCCCTTCCCCTAGGCTCCGACCCTACCTCTCTCTGCGTCCTCTACGGAGCTGTGTGCACGCTGCCGCTCTTCCCCCTCCCCCTCGCTAGGGCCATCCGCTGACCAACTCCATCCGCATCTGAAGACTGAGCTTCACAAAGTGCATGGTGGTGCTGGCCGCTTCCCTCAGGTGTCGCGGCATTCAAATCTACCCATCCCTGAGGACTGGCTGGTCAGAGGCAGGTCCCAGGCTCACATGCAGCACATGTCGGGATCTAGGCCTGCATCTCAATGACCAGAAGTTGACTCTGTCCCCCGTTCAGAGAATAGAGTTTATAGGAGCAGTGTTTGACTCCACCCATGCCAGAGCCTACCTGCCGGAGTCTTGGTTCAGGGCATGTCAGAGCCCAGTCGCTCACAACCACCCAGGTATGCCACCAGCAGCTGGGTCACATGGCGGCGTGTACCAACGTGGTGCAACATGCACGGCTGCAGCTCAGTCTCCAGATGTGGATGGAGTTGGTCTTCTCACGACCTAGAGCTAATGGTTACAGTTCTGTCGAATGTCCTGTCATCTCTGGCTCGGTGCCCAGCCCCTTCGTAGCTTCACTCCCATCGGTAACATTGGTCGGATCGGGGGTGGGGAGCCCAGCTTGGCAGCTGCAGTACCCAAGGTCTCTGGTTCTCGTCACAGAAAGGCCAGGGAGCTCAGGGCAATACGCTTGGCTTGCCATGCATTCCTCCCTATCTGAGGGGCAGAGTGGTGCAGATCTTGACGGACAATCTTGACAGCAGCAATGTTCTTCAACAAGCAAGACGAGGCCCGCTCGTCTGCCCTGTGTCGAGAGGCTCTTCGCCTGTGGGACTTCTGTGTGCAGCAGGCTGGTCATCTCAAGGCTTTGCACCTCCCGGGTGCCCAGAACACGCGGGCAGATCTCCTCAGCAGGTATTTCTCCTCTCGCCAAGAGTGGTCACTCCACCCAAAGGTCGTCAGCACGATCTTCCCCAGATGTGGGACTCCCCAGGTGCACCTATTCGTGGCCACTCAGAACAGGACGTGTCAGCAGTTGTGCTCATTTTACGGAGCTAGCCAGCAGCTCCCTGTCCGACGCTTTCCTGCGCCCTTGGATGGGGGCCCTGCTGTACGCCTTCCTGGCTTTCCTGTGCCCTTGGATGGGGGCCGTTGTACGCCTTCCCGGCTTTCCTGCGTCCTTGGATGGGGGCCCTGCTGTACACCTCCCGGCTTTCCTGCGCCCTTGGACGGGGGGCGCTGTACGCCTTCCTGGCTTTCCTGCGCCTTTGGATGGGGGCCGCTGCATGCCTTCCTGGCTTTCCTGCACCCTTGGATGGGGCCCTTTGTACACCTTCCCGCTGCTACCCCCAGTTCACAAGGTCCTAGGGACAAAGCGAAGGGCATCCTGGTAGCTCCGGCGTGGTTCGGCAGGTTTTTGGATCTTTCGATGGCAACCCCACTAGCGGTCCCGCTTCGCCCAGACTTGCTCTCACAGCACCAAGGCTGTCTGCTCCATCCGAACCTAGCGTCGCTGCATCTGATGGCATGGCTTTGCATGGCTGAACGTGGAGGAACAGGCCTGCTCGGAGCAAGTCTAACACATCCTGTTGAGTAGAAGGAAGCCCTCCATCAGGGCGACCTACCTGGTCAAGTGGAAACACTTCATCTATTAAGGGCTGCGGATCGAGGTCTTTCTCCCTCCCGGTCATTGCTACAATCCATTTTGGACTACCTGCTCCCCCTCAAGCACCAGGGCCTAGCAATCAGGGTTCACTTGTCGCCCATCTCAGCCTTTCACCCGCTCCTCCAGGGCAGGTCAATCTTTGTTCATGATGTGACGATCAGGTTCCTGAAGGGTCTGGAGAAGCTATATCCACAGGTTTGGGATCCCATCCCTCCTTGGGACCTAAACCTGGTGCTAGCGAGGCTCACAGGTCCCCCTTTCGAGCTGCTGACTTCGTGTTTCTGCTGCTCCTCTTATCGGAGGTCTCCTTCCGGCGGTGATCACGTCGGCCCACAGGGTCTCCGAGATTAGAGCGTTGACGTCAGCACCCCCTTACGTGGTGTTTTACAAGGACGAGGTCCAGCTGAGCCCCCACTCAGCCTTCTTACCTACGGTGGTGTCACAGTTCACAATAATCAGGACCTCTTCCTACCGGGTTTCTTCCTTAAGCATCACAAGGCGGACAAGGAGCATCGGTTACACTCTATGGATGTTAGGCAGGCCTTAGCCTTCTGCATTGAGGGGACCAAACCCTTCCGTAAATCAGCACAGCTCCTCGTCGCAGGGCGGACAGGATGATAGGTTTGCCTGTGTCCGCTCAGAGAAGCTCCTTGTGGATAACCGCCTGCATCAGGCTCTGCTATGAGCAAGCAGAGGTGTCACTGCTGGCCATCCTGCCTGCCCATTCCACCAGAGCGTACGCTTTGTCAGTGGCCTTCCTCGCACAGGTATCCGGGATATCTGCAGAGCCGCCACCTGGTCCTCGGTCCATATGCCATCAGCCAGCAGGCCCAGGACGAGGCCAGCTTGGCAGAGCAGTGTTGCAAGCAGCACGTCCATGAACCACCTCCAGGGAGTCACCTAACTTGGAATCAACACAAGCAAGTACTCAAAGAAGGAAAAACGGTACCTCCCTCTCGTTGCAAGAAGGGACCGGTGGCTCCCCATATACCGGTGCATGGGTGCAGGACTCCAGGGGGCGCCAGAGCCGGCCCTACAGATACTGCTAAGGGAAAAATCTCCGCAGCCGGGCCCATGGGCGCGCGCACACATAGCAGGGAATGGACACGAGCAACACATCTCAAGGAGCAACAGTTAGAGAAGGTAGGGAACCGTTTTTTCTGGGAGAAGGAAGGAGTGTTGGGGGGCCTGTCTGGGGTGTTCCCAGGAGCGGAGGTGGGGACAGGGCAGTGCTGGGGGCAGGAGAGGTGGGAGTAGAAGATGTCAGTGGGGTCCAGGCAGGGGATGGATACGGGGGTGAGGGGCTGCGGGAGGACTAGGGGGGCTGATATTCTCACCCCTCCCCTCTCCCTGCAGGGCTCCGGGCCGACACTGTCACGCTGCGATCCGCCAAGAGTGAGGAGTCACTCACGTCTCAGTCCAGCACCGCGGGTATGAGGGGCAGCACCAGGGGCGGGGAGGGGACATTCAGGGGGAAGCCAACCTCAGAGGTGGCTGTGTCTCGGTGCCGGGCGAGCTGTCCCCATGCAGCGTTATGTACAGCTGTTCCCCAGCTGCCCCACCCCAGAGGTGGCTGTGTCTCGGTGCCGGGCGAGCTGTCCCCATGCAGTGTTATGTACAGCTGTTCCCCAGCTGCCTCACCCCAGAGGTGACTGTGTCCCAGTGCTGGGCGAGCAGTCCCTGTATGGTGTTGTGTGTGGCTGTTCCCCAGCTGCCCTGCCCCAGAGATGGCTGCATCTCAGTGCCAGGTGAGCTGTTCCCATGCGGCATTATGTGTGGCTGTTCCCCAGCTGCCTGCCGTCTCAGGATTGTTTACGCTGCTGTTTGTCCATCTGTCTCAAGGCCTGCACAAACTGAACCGCCTGCGGCGCCCGCGCTCCAGCAGCGACGCCTTCCCGGCCCTGCCTGGAGCCCTCCCCGGGTCCCTGCCAGCCCCCCTCAAGCCCTGCCGCTCCTGCGAGTCACTGAGCTCCTCGGCCTCCGGCGGCTACAGCGAGAGCCTGGCACCCCATCGCCGCACCTCCCTCTGGCTGGATGATGAGGGCGAGCTGGACTCGGACCCAGAGCTCAGCCCCCCCGGCTTCCTGGACTTGGACGTGCTCCCCTTCCGGCGCAGCTCCCCCCGGTGCCCCTCGCTCTCTGAGGCCTCTGACTCGGCCCCCAGCCCCACCCGCCTTCCCTTCGCCTGCAAGGTGACCCGGGCGCTGTCACCCCGCGGCCCGGAGCCTCCCACAGCTGCCCTAGAGATCTCAGAACCCGTGGCCATCTCGCTGCCTGCCAAGGTGCTGGAGATGCTGGGGGGGGGTGAGGCTGGGGGTGTGCTGAGGCCCGGACGGCGCTGGGGAACGCGCAGCCCCCCCCACATGATCTCCCGGCTGCTGCAGGCCGGCGACGGGATGCTGACTGACAGCTGCCAGCGTGAGGTTCAGCACAAACTGACCCAAGCCGAGAGCGGAAGCCTGGCCCAGAGTGAGTGCGCCAAAAGCTCCCAGCCCCCTCCAGAACTCCCCGCCAGCCAGAACCCCCCCGAACCTCCCAGCCCCCTCCAGAACTGCCCGCCAGCCAGAACCCCCCCCCAGAACCTCCCAGCCCCCTCCAGAACTCCCAGCCAGCCAGAACCCACCCCCCGCCAAAACCTCCCAGCCCCTCCAGAACTCCCCACCAGCCAGAACCCCCCCTCCCCACCGCTGGAACCTCCCAGTCCCCCCAGAACTCCCTGCCAGCCAGAACCCCTCCCCCCATCCAAGACCTCCCAG